CCTTTTTTACAGTATTCGCTCCATAAGACATACATACTTTCCCCCACACACTTTTTTGGCGGGAAAACTGCGTCTTATGGAGTGAAAAATACAGTAAATACAGAAGAAAAATAAGAAGTGAAGTAGAGAAAAGCACCAGCAGTCCTACATTCTCCTCCATTATTTCCTGTCTTCAGAAGCCCTTCAGAATTCTTAACAGTCAGGCTTGCCTTTTACAGGAAAACTGTTAACAACGTGCGCTTTTTATACATGATCAGTGACACTTAAATCTCTTACATGTAGGCAAATGAATGTTAGTTTTGTCTTGGGTTTTTGCGTGTTAACACATTAGTTGGTTGCATGCTAATACTACTATAGTAACCATCAGAATCTGGAGGGAAGTGTTTTTGGATAGTTATAAAGTCACTGTCTACAACTAGATGGCCAATTTGTTCCAAGCTGGATTGAGCTACAGCAGTGACACTTAAATCTCTTACATGTAGGCAAATGAATGTTAGTTTTGTCTTGGGTTTTTGCGTGTTAACACATTAGTTGGTTGCATGCTAATACTACTATAGTAACCATCAGAATCTGGAGGGAAGTGTTTTTGGATAGTTATAAAGTCACTGTCTACAACTAGATGGCCAATTTGTTCCAAGCGGGATTGAGCTAAACAGGGTCACTTTGAGGTGCAGTATGTCACTTGGGGTGAGCCTTGCTCCCACGTGCAAGGATGAATGGTTTCAGGGCAGGAAACCACACCACAAGCAACCCTACAATAGCCCATTCAAAAAAGAGAAACCCCTCTCTATGTTCCTTCTTCCTCCATGGATTTTTTAAAATTATATTTGTAAGTGGCATGGGGTTGAACTGGTTAAAAACTATTTTTTTAAAACTTTAAAAAACCTACCAGATCCTTTTTCTCTCTCTCTCTCCATGAGGGGAATGAGAGCAATCTTTAAATTTATTAATACATATGTGGTTAGATCGTGCAGGGGCTTAAATGGAGTGAGTTAAGCAATTTGCGTTAGTTCAATACTAGCAATTATATATGCTGGAAACAAACCAAAATGAAGTGATTTTAGGTAAAGGTAAAGGTTTCCCTTGACATTTAGTCCACTCATGTCCGACTCTAAGGGGCAGTGCTCATCCTTGTTTCCAAGCCATAGAGCCAGCGTTTGTCTGAAGACAGTTTCCATGGTCACGTGGCCAGCGCGACCGGACATGGACCCATACTTTAAAAAAAAAGTAGCCCCTGCTAGGGAAACTCAAAAGGTGAAGATAGGCATGGAAAAAGGTGAAGCTGGTTCCCAATTACTTGTACGTTGTATGGTCACAAAAAAATGGAGCAAATCAGCCCATTCCCAAAGTGGGGCGAAGGTCTGATCACACCCTGTCTTTACTCCATGAGAGCCAGGAATTCATAATGAGCAACCAATTATCTTTGGGGAAGGGTGAGGTTACAGACCACCTACAACCTGACAAGTGAGAAGAACGTATTTGACAATGTCCATCCAGACCTTCAGTTAAAATTTTCTGTTCTTCACCTTAACACCTTAACTCATATATATAACTGCCATCACAGTCCAATGGTAGAACACCTGACCTATATTAACAAGGTCCAGGGTGCTTCAATTCTTGGCATCTCAAGGAAAAGGATAATCTGTAGCAAGGTGGGGATAAATGTTCTCACAGCCCCAAAGATCAGAAAATCAGAATAAATTGTCCTGGGCTAGGTAGATCAAAATTCAAAGCTTTGTAAAACACTTAAAGAGGACTTTCTAGTTTAATGTCTGGATTAACAGCTAATCATGTTAAAACAGAAGTTTATCTTTGATATGTCTGTAATCTTAGTTTCACTCGAAGTGGGGGAAAAATGAGATCCCAGGTTGCTAGGTGTTTCATCCCCGTGTGCACCAAGCAAAGGGTATTTTCAGATTAGAAATCCTTGGCTTTGCCTGTAAACGCCTTTCTGAAATGGGAGTCATATCTCAATTGTGCTGAAGAGCTATGACACAAAGTTACTGTATGTATGTGTGTGACATTTTGAATAGAGAAATATAGGGTCAAAAAGAATGCAGAGATCTCATTGGGGTCCTTTTTTCTAAATGTATATTTTATTAAACCAACAATGTAAATGTTAGTGTGAAGTTACAGTTCATGCAGCAGGTCTTCCTTATTATACAGCAAAACATCCAGGCAGCTTTTTGCAGCTACATCAGGCAGGCAGGCTTTGTGATGGTCTCCAGTTTTGCACAGTCACCAGAGTGTCGCACCATGAATTATTAAATCAGTGTTTCGTGGTAATACATAATTTCTTATCAATTATTCATGCTAATGTGTGTGTAGTTTACTTAATTGTGTTATTGACGATCAAAAGTAATTTCCTGAAAATCCTCAAGGACAGAAAATTTAATCAGCATAACTACTTTTCAGATGCAATGCTGTTAAGTATTCTTAATTTGCTCAACAGTTCACTTATTTATGTACCTTTCTGGAGGAAAAATGAGTTTAATCAAAGCATTAGAATGAAGAGAGAGTGTATGTGAAGGCCAAGTTCACCTGGATGATTGGTAATTATGCTGAAATGAAATTGAGAATGCTCCTCTTTGCCAAACCATTTTAATAGTGGAACTTTAGAAAACAGTGATTAAAAAAAATGTCCAAATGATGGCTGGAATGATCTTGGAGACAGAAAGGGATTCCTCTTCTTCCCAGGATGTTACATGGCTTTGTTGGCAGGAAGAGCGATTCCTGTTCTTTCGCAGACAATGCAGAAGAAGAGATCAAAGGAAAGAGAATCTGGACCCAGGGAAGTTCTTGTCACATTCAAACTTCACAAGGATGCTGTGATTTCAGGACTACACTGGTTGCCTGTTTTTACTTTCGGAATGCAAGCTTATTTTTTTTAAAAAGTGGGCTGAATATTAAAACAACGGCTGAGGTTTAGACAAAGAACTGCCGTCTTCCATTTTTTCATCTTCATCAGGCTTCAGAGACAATACTGTAGGAAGATACTAGTGTGCATTATCAGTCAAAACAGAGCTTCATATTATGCCTTTTTTAAAAGCATTTCAACAAGAAATACAAAACAAAATGAAACAAAAGCAAAAAAAGACATTGTGGTACTTGAAAGACTACTATATTAGGAGCTCTGATCCAGAGAAATGCTCTTCACATGTTGTTTGCACACAGACAATTTGCGATCTGTTATAGAGACTGGTACCCATTTTTTAAAAAGTGAGCACCAACTGTAAGTTACAAGGCTATGTGTCTGTGAAACTCTAGTACTTTGGAGAACCAAATGGACCTTCACTTTCATCATCTTAAGAACACAGTGCTGCCAAGGGCAACTCTTCAAGACTTTATCACACTTGTCTTATGTGTTTATGTCAGCAATTCTATATGGACTTATTTTAAAATAAGTTTCACTGACAGCCAGTGTATGTAGTGGATAGTATGATGGACAAGGACTCCGAAGATCTGGGTTCAAATCCCCACTCACCCATGGAAACTCACTGGGGGTGGCAATGGCAAAACCACTCCTTAGTTAGCTCACATGTATCTTGAAAACCTCTTTAGGGTCACCACAAGCTGGATGTGACTATATGATGGCACAAAATAACAAGCTTCACTTATCTTACTGAGACTTATATTTTGGCAGATATACACAGTCTTGCATGGTTAAACAGACTTAAATTTCTTGTCCTGTAATCCACCTTAGGAATTTATCTGAATTCTGAATGGCACTAGGAACATCTACTATAACTGACTGGTTAAACAAAATGCAGTCAGTGTATTCGCGAAGGCTCTCACGGCCGGGACCTAATGGTTGTTGTGGGTTTTTCGGGCTCTTTGGCCATGTTCTGAAGGTTGTTCTTCCTAACGTTTCGCCAGTCTCTGTGGCCGGTATCTTCAGAGGAAGTGTTGTCCTCTGAAGATGCCGGCCACAGAGACTGGCGAAACGTTAGGAAGAACAACCTTCAGAACACGGCCAAAGAGCCCGAAAAACCCACAACAACCACAAAATGCAGTCAGGTTTCTGTAAGCACATCAGGGGTTTTGGACCACAGTTTCAAAGTAAAAAAAAAATGCACCACTTAAGGGCAGAGCCAATTCACTATGATCACCAATCATACCATGAGCTGTGATCTACAGATGCAGTCAATGTGGTGACATTTCTTCCACTCCATCTTGTCTGAGGCCTGCTCAGAATAAAATAATATGGAAGTGTATAGTTACTGTGAAGTTACTATTGTGTTCAATCAGAGGGAGAGGGAAAAGAATGTGCTAAGGTTTCGAAGGCAAAGCATTTCCTCTTGAGAAGAGAGTAGATGCAAGGGTGCTATCCACCCAATGAAATTCTTTTATTCTACATTCCTGGGCACCTAAGAGTAAATCCTACAGAAGTCAGCAAGATTTTATCTCTGCACTGACAACATGTAAAGGACTGTTCTGTGTAAATGTTCTAAAAACCATGTGTTTCCTAGAAATGTTTTAAGTACTGCCTCTGGTGTTTGAATCCTTCTAAGTCAAGAAATCAGAGGCACACATCAGTAAGTTAGCGGCAAAGCTCTCCAGACCATGTGTGACTCACTCTCCTTTCTGTGTGTTAGAGATCATTGGGTAAAATGGCTGAAATGTAGATTTTTTTCAGGCAGCAACTGGGGCACCAGGTTATCTTTGCTTGGACTTCCTGTGCCTTGGGCAAAAACTACAGTATCTCCATTCACATTGCTCTCAGGAACTGCTACTTGAATTCCAAATTCCAAATTTCCACAAGGGCAACGGCCTTCCCTATACAGTACCAGGTCTGAGGATCTTACATGAAATCCTCTGTGCCATACTGCATTATATCAAATTGCTTTCTTAATGGAAGAAGCATTGTTAGGTAATTCTGAAAGATTCATCCATCCACCTCAGTCGATTTCCTCCCAGGGCACAACATGTGCTATAGCAGCAGTTCCAAAACTTTCCCACTTCACTCTTCCTTATTGATTTAAGAAACTCTCACAACTCCCTTCCTTTCCACCATTACACAATTCTCTTTCAAAAGAAAAAGCAATTCATAATTTTAAATTAGCAATAAAACACAGTGTCTCATATGTGTACGTGCATATGTACGCGTATACATGCACAGAGAGAATTTCTTTATAAACCTCTGGGATGTTTAGGAATCAATACACAAGAGGTGCCGGAGAACGGTCCCAAGTTTCTCTCTACAGCTTCTAATAGGACTCCTGAATCCAGTTTTGCTTTAGATTGAAGCAGCACCAGACTCCATGGGGCTAATAAGGAACCCGAGGAAATTTATCAAGAAGTAAAAGATGTCAGTAAGAAAGATGACTGATGAACGCTTGCACTTGTAGCTTGCTGGGAAAGCAAACAGCTACCACATTTTCTTCCAGATGCAAAATGATCCAGATAGCTGAGGTTGTACACCGGTCAGGTAGATTTCCTTAGATTTGGCTTCTCAGGATTACTGGGTTCATTGTGATGTGGAAGGCAGGCTCTCAGACACTTTTCTCACTGTCGTTCTGTTCTACAGTCAAAGGAGGCTTGTTGTCCAAGACATTCTCTGCACTGGGCTTGGCCCCTGAACCACAGCTGGGGCCAGGGCTGCTGGAGGCCAGAAGATTTGCTGACTGAAGCACAGCCTCGGAATGTTCGCGTGCTTTCATGCGCAGGGCTGCTACGCTTGCTGTGCGATTACTCTGGCAGCCGTACGTGGGAAGGAAGGAGAGCCCCATGTGGTCAGGAACGCAGCAAGAGCAGAGTGGACTACCTGGAAGAGGAAAAATAAAAGACCACCTGCCACCAGAATCATCAACAGAGCTGGAATAACCAGAGTAACCACAACACACATCTCCAATTATACACCAGAATAATTTTACAGGATCCTGTCCACCTTCATTTGTTTATCAAAAGGATCTACAGGTCACACTATTCTGTCCTCCTGAAATGATGCTCCTTCTATAAAATCCAGTAAGACAATAACAAAATGTTCTTTTAAATAAATCCTAAATTATTTTGATAGCCCTTCTACTTCTTGTCCACCAATCACTAGAGTTGAAACCAACTTGACCTCCAACAGGAGGAGGCTAAACAGACTGTGTTCCTGCAGCGTGTTACTCATAAACCTATCTCAAACTGTATGCTCACTAACCTAGCCACATGTAACCATCCAGTTAGCCAGGGACACTCACTAAGGGAGTGGGGGTGGCACTGGTAAAACAACTCCTTAAATATCTCTTACCTTGAATCCTAGCCACATGTAACCATCCAGTTAGCCATGGACACTCACTAAGGGAGTGGGGGTGCCGCTGGTAAAACAACTCCTTAAACATCTCTTACCTTGAATATCCTGTTAGAGTTGCTATAAATCAGTTCTGACTTAACAGCACATAACAACAGCATGAAACTGTCAATTCATTAATTTGTTTCAGTCTGTTAACACACACATTTTATCATGTTGTCTTCTTTTAAGACTAGATGCATCATTTGAGAGTTAACAGAGAACAACAAAAGAGTTTTAAAAATCATATTCTACATTCCAGAATACAGAATTCCATTTTTTTAAAAGGAACTTTTCTAGGTCTGAAATTGGACAAGGTAAACAATACAGATTACAGCATTACTTGATAAAATGGACAATATTTAGTAATGTGACAGCTTTCCATCTTAATGGTAACAATTTATTACATTCAGATTTAAAAGTATAGCTAAACTAGGTTGATTTGATGCTCAGGCAACAGATATAACAAGATACCCCTGCAGAAAGGAAAGGAAAGGAAACTGCCATTTAATCTTGGAGAATGTGACAGAAACATATCAGCCTTTCTAAACTGTGTATGCTGACATGCCACAAAGCAAGGAAATCTGATTTGTATTCGCGAAGGCTTTCATGGCCAGGATCTAATGGTTGTTGTGGTTTTTTCGGGCTCTTTGGCCATGTTCTGAGGGTTGTTCTTCCTAACATTTCGCCAGTCTCTGTGGCCGGCATCTTCAGCAACCTTCAGAACATGGCCAATGAGCCCGGAAAACCCACAACAACCATTAAATCTGATTTTATTTTATTTTTCTGTCTACCTATGCAAAGCATAAAGCTATCAAAAGTGTATCTATACATAATACTAAAAGTCTGTGTATTTTATGTGTTACATATGCATTGCATGAGTAAAAACTTGTTTTGGCCAGAATATACTTGCCATTTTAAAATGTCCCTCTTTTACTTTCTATCCAATATTAGCAGCATTCACAAATGCAAAATGCATGTCTTCATGAGAGGCAAAAAAGATTATTTAATTGTACGTGTAAATATGTGTAGTGGGAGGCAGTCACAGGGAAAACAAGGACTTTAGTGAGAGTGCATGCAATAACATTGTGGAGTGGTTCTATTTCTGTTCTCTCATTACAGTTTCTCACAAAGATACTGAATAGGACTATAAAGTGAAAGCTTCATTTTAATCCCTACAAGGAGACAAGTCTGTTCATTTGCCAGCCTGAGGAAGCCAACTGAACTGGCCATTTACTAAACTGTTTCACAAACCTGCTGTCTCTTCTATTCTAAATTAAAAACACACAATTATGTCTCCATTAGGTTACAGCAAATTCTGCAAAATTGATCTGAACCACCTACTGTTGCTGTATTACATCATTCTTGAAAGGCTGAGCCTGGACATAAATACTTAATGTAATAAATACAGTCTGAAATATTTGATCCACTTGACAGTTTAATTGATCTGCGACAGACTGACAGGAAAAATTAAATTAGCTCTACCTCATCTCTGCCAAAAGCACATTTTAATTGTAAGACGTACTTGAACTACAGTTTGGTTCACAAAGCTGGTTCCTTTCTCGCAACACCACCAAAGGGAGCAAGTCATTTCCATTTTAAAATACATCACACTTGCACCCTGCCTCTTCCTTCAAAGAGCTCTCTCTCTCTCTCTCTCTCTCTCTCTCTCTCTCTCTCTCTGAAAGCCAAAACATTAAATGGTCCTGTGGAACTGCCTTATACAGTGGACCCTTGACTTACAGACGACTTGACTTACAGACTTTTTGAGTTACAGACTTCTCTGGCCGCAAAATTTAGGTTTGACTTGCAGGCTGAGATTTGACTTACCAGAAAAAAACCAAAATGGAACAAAAACGGCCTGTTACGGGATTAATCGGTTTTCAATGCACTGTAGGTCAATGGAGACTTGACTTACAGACTTTTTGACTTAAGAACCGCTTTCCAATACAGATTAAGTTCTCAAGTCAAGACCCCACTGTACTCAGTAAGAAAACTCTAGTTCAGTAGCAGGAAACTGTTTGGGTCCCAAGGGCCAGATTGCTACCAGGATCAATCCAGTGACCAAAGGTTATGGGGAAGAGACCCCAAACCCTCAAGCCCATCTCCTCCCATGATGTTACCCACCTCTGCTGTCCCTCAACAATTATTTATTTTTATTTATTTATTCTATTTGTACCCCGCCTATCTGGTCAAACAACCACTCTAGGCGGCTTCCAGACATCTCTCTTCAATTTCTCTGGCCCACACCTCTCTGTGCTAAAAAAAGTCCTTTCTATGTCCCTTGTGTTCTGCTAAGAGACATATGAAAGAAATTCCTTTCCACCCACTTAATTTCATGACAGATGAGCAGGATGGGGTAGAACCCTGCTGATCAGAGAACATAGGCGAGTGGGAGGTATCAGCCCACTGTCATCTCCAATCAGTGAGTAGAGATTACAGCAGGATTTCTCTGTAAACTGCTTCTACCCCATTTGTGAACACTAGCACTGCATTTGCAATGGGTGGACAAGGCCTGATGTTTCCTACTCCTATGCATCCAGAGCTCTCCAGCAAATGCAAACAACACCTTTGGAAAAAAGATTTTTGGCAGCATAAGCCTCCCAGTTTAGCAGTTGCTAATAAACTGAACATAACTTGGAAAATGGGTTTCTTCACATGAGTACTGTAATTCTGTATGAAATTCACTGTTACAAGAAGCTCCTTTTCAGGCCTTTGCTGCTGCTCCACACTAGTGGCACATACATACAGAAATGCTTTTTTTAAAAAAGGGAACAACAGTCTCTCTGTAGCTGATTCAGCAGCCCTGGAGCCTGAATTAAATTTCGCCTACCCATCCAACCTGCTATCTATTGCTCTCCACCTCTCTGAACTGCCTTTGGAGAGCCCTTGTGCCTTGAGTAAGTGGTGCAATGGAAGAAAGTAGCTGTTACCTTCAGCAGTGTTTTAGTGGCCACTGTGGGACAGATTTGGGACCTTAGTCTGATCCAGCAAATTCATGGGTCTATTTGAGTTTATCCTTTCCTTCTTCATTCAGAACCACAAACTGGGATAGGGGGATATCCCAGCTGGACATTTCAGTATTCCTGGGAAGTTTTGACTAAATAGGCTGAGATTTAGTGCTATGCAGATGGCAAGTTATTTTCCAGCTGACAGAGATTTGAATCCAGAGTCCTCCAACTCTCTCATTTCTTTATAATTGTCAGTGTCACTTTTTAAATGTTTTTCATTATCTCTATTTTACTTTCTGATATGACTTTTCCTCAAAGTCTCAGTCACAGCTGCTCCATGAGTGGTAGCAATTTCTCTTGCCTTGTCCTCAAGCTAATGATAATAAAATGCACCTTCCCCTCCCCAACCTTTAGAAAGGGAAAATTCTCTTGTGCAATGCCTGTGTATACAGTAGGGTCTTGACTTAAGAACGGCTCGAGTTAAGAACATTTTGACTTAAGAACCGCTCTCATAGGAAAATATTGACTTGACTTACACACTTAGATCTGAGTTAAGAACTGAAAAAAAACCCACGTGGGAGGCAGGGAAAGTGCAAAATTTTAACTTTCAGTTAACTGTTGGCCAGTGAAAAGGGTGCCTGTCTGCTTCCTCACTCCTCCCAGCGTTTAGAGAGTGGATTGGGAGACAATCTTCGGACTGCCTGGTACTGTACTGCCTGGACTGTATTTTCCCTGCCTTCCCTGAACCTTTCTTGACCTAAGAAAAAAAGAAACAAAATATCCGCCTCTAGTTGTTGAAGGCAGAATAGCAGCTTCCCATTAGTTTCTATGGACGGAAAAGAGCAGATACGGATCAAATGGTTTTCAATGCATTCCTATGGGAAATGCAGATTTGACTTGAGAACATTTTGACTTGAGAACCGCCTTCCAATACAGATTAAGTTCTCAAGTCAAGACCCCACTGTACTAAGACTCTGACTTCAAAATTGAAGCATGTTGTGCATAAGGATCCTTTACCATATCGATGAATCAGAATATTCATATTTATAGCATGTTAAGAATCCTTGGATACCCAATGTGGTGTAGTGGATAAAGGAATGAGCCAGGGCTCAGCAGACCCAGGTTTAATTCCCCTGTTTTGCCATGGAGGAACTGGTGAGGAACTGGTAAAACCACTCCTTAAATACTCCACTTATCTTGAAAACTCTCTTAAGGTCACTTATTTATTTATTATTATTTATTTATTGGACTTATATACCGCCCCATAGCGCTACAAGCACTCTCCGGGCGGTTTACAATTTTTTAATTATACAGGCTACACATTGCCCCCCAGCAAGCTGGGTACTCATTTTACCGACCTCGGAAGGATGGAAGGCTGAGTCAACCTTAAGCCGGCTACCTGGGATTTGAACCCCAGGTCGTGAGCACAGTTTTAGCTGCAGTACAGCGTTTTAGCCACTGCGTCACTTCAAGTCAGTTCTGATTTGATAACATATAACAAAACAAAACATCCTTGTTTCTCATTTAAGTTTTCTGATG